TTCTAATGACAAGCATGTCATAATACTACGCTTTCTTTGTCAAAAGAACAAGATGCTTATTTTCTGTCTTGAAATATGTAAATGTAAAGGATCATACTGGGACACTGAATAAACAAAAGCCACAAATATATAGAGAAGTCTCTTACTACTGCTGGATTAATTATCATTAATAAACCAGGGCACAAATATTTTTGACAGGATGGGAAAGCAGGTCATTAGCACCGATGACATGATATAAATGATCTTCCTTAAGACATTTAGAGCGGATCTGCTCCAAACGACTCTCGTGGCTTGCAGTTATACCCCCAAATAGTTTACATCTAACATCCAGTGGAGAATATACAGTATTTGCATACAAGACTGAGAATCCTTTTCGCTCCTCAAATCTATAGCAATTTTTAAAAAGAATAAATTGCTAACAAATAAACAAACTCTGAAACGAAACCATTTTACTACTATAAAGATTCAAAATCAGGCACAAAAAAAGCAGAAGTTTGTGGAGCCTTTTAAAATGGATTTTCTGTTGGAGTCACAATATAAACAATGATTTGCATCAGTGATTATCTTAATTAAACTGCTGTTTACATAAGTAACGCTGATTTACTTTAAATGTTGTTCGGTGTCATTAGACCATTCGTTTAATTGTGCAAATTTCCTTTAGCTGAAGTCTTCTCCCACCTTCAGTATGCTGTGAACAGCACCTCTGCTGCAAGTAAATCCAGAGGAAATTTAATATTGTACAAGCTTTATGCAAGTTTCTTTGTAGAAACACTACAGAGCACAGACCAACCCCTTACCTTATACTACTGCATGACACGGATTTCACTCTGAGTCGGGCATAAGCAACATGGTCAGAAAGTCTGGTTATTACAGACTTGGATAAAAATGCACACTGTGATCACTTCCCAGTAAAATTACCTTTCCCTATCTTATTTTACATTAGATTTCTCACTCAAGGAGGAATTCTCCCTCCTGAAGACACAGTGATCAGCTGGACAACCTGGTACTGAAGGTCTTCACTAGATCATAAATTCAAGTCATTGCTAAAATTAAAAAAAAAAAAAAAAAAAAAAAAAAGTAAGCTGGAAAAAAAACACCACAGTAATTCTGAAATTAGCAGTGACAGATGCTCCGAACAGAAATCAGGATTGCTGGCCATCACTACCCCCTGAATTCACTCTGTAGTAATGCTAGAAGAAAGTAAGCTTTGTTTGATAATATTTAACAGATTTACAGAGGAGTTTAAGAGTCCGTCTTTCCAAGAAACCAGCTCAGCCACAAATGATTGTGTTTGTTCCAGCATGTCATCAGCCTGGATGACTGCAATGATCTACTCAGGCCTTAAAATCCGTGAGAACAGTACTGCCACACAAACAAAATCAAAGATTTAGTATCTTTCATAGTATTTTATTAAATATTTTAATTTCTTAATAAGTAGAACTTGAGTTCTAAATTAAGAATGCCTAAGGAGAAGAGGACTAGTCCAGGAACCAATGCTCTATATTTTGACTCCTGCAAAATTTCATTAGGAAAAATAAAAACAAACAATCAAAAATCCTTTCTATAACATGCATTTTTAGCTGGATTTTTTCTTAAGAAGAAGAAAAGCAAAAAAGTAAAACAAAACACACAACATTTAGTTGATTATCTACCTTCATTTCAGAAAGGGGCTACCCAGGGTCTATTTGGTCAGGCAGAGCCAGACACCACTCACCCTCTGGGGTACAGAATGGCTTGAAAACAGCCTGACAAAGCAACCAGCAGAGCCACTTTCAGACCCTGCTCTTGAGAGGCTGCGAGCCACTGACACACCTCTTCACCCTGCAGAGCAGTACGTGACTCCAAATCTCTCTGTTAATAGTCACTTGGAAACTCTGCTGTTGTCAAACTTCGGCTACGAATGTGCTAACATAGAGGATTCAGAAGCAGCAAGGAAATTAATGCGGCAAAGGGGGATATTAACCTTTATAGGGATACCCACTGCCTTCAGGATCTTGACATGTAGAACAGGTCTTCTGCGTTTCCCTGGCAGGGCTTGTGTAGCATCAGGGAAAAGCTGGCGCTGTGCAGCACCCACCCTGCTCATCCCTCCCTAAAGCATCACACGGGCCTGTGGCACTTCTTATTCTATTTTAATTCCTTCTGTTCTTTGCATCACAGAGTAACACAAAGCCTGCCTTCGTCTCTACAACAGAAAAGATTTCCTCTTCTGTTGGAAAATGAGATTTTTCCTCAACAGAGATTAACAAAAAAAAAAATCTGCATGCATTTAAAGTTTCTCTTTAAACATGTTATATGACAAAATACTAACAACACACTTCAGTACTTAATGGCCAGGACAAATTCTTAAAACTAAGAAAAGATCAGCCATATTCTGTGCAACAGTAGCCACTAAGTATATTTAACCAAGGTCATTTGAACTTGGATCGCTACAGATTTTCAATGACTAATTATTGGCAGTGCCAAGATAAACACGTAAACATGTAAACACTGGAATTGTGTTGGAAAAATTAAGAGGTACGTATAGCATGATAAACTGATCTTACTCAATTTTATTGATTTTATTTCAATATTTTACATCACATGAAAGGAGGGAGGGAAAAAAAATAATCAAAACTCCACAAAGATGAAGAAAACTGAAACTAAATTTCTGAGGTATTATTATTCTTCCTCGATAATGAAGTACTTCAGGATGACTTCTAAAACTCACTCGCACTTAGATGCTTCATTTATTTCAATCTAGGACATAATTAGAGGGAAATCAAATCCATCTCCACAGCAGAATATTTACCTGAGATACAGCTCAGCGTGCTCAGTTATTTCCCATGTGTTCAAACTCAGTATTATATATATCATTAAAACTTTACTTAGATTAATGTCCATTACTTAATTAGCATCAAAACTAGAGTCCACGATGTTTGCTGCTGGTTGGCTGTCAGGACAGGAATGCTTTCAGATTTTTTTCTATTAATAGGCCAAATTTTGCCTTCCCTGCTGCCAGGTGCAATTAGACTAGAGTAAGTATTACAGTGGATAGCAAACTACTGGCCAGCTTTCTACCTCCAGTCAATTATTGTTATCTTTGTCCTGCAGAGAGAGGAATGAGGCTGTTTCTTTGCAGTTACAGGTGGGAGTGTTTGGAGAGGGAATGTGGGAGCACACATGAGAACCGGTTGAAATGCACTGAAACCAGTGAAAGCATTACAAAACCTTTGCTAGTGAAGACAGGGCAAAAGCAACTGGTGCTCAATTCCTCTCTTAAATGCTTTTACTTCGGTGTAAGTCTCCATAGGTGATCAGAATGGGGTTCTTTACTCAAGAAGTTCCACACACCATGCCCAGCTCAATAAAAAGTATTTGGAAGTGGAAGGGGTAAATCTCAGCTGAACGAGTGGGCAGTTGTCCCACGTGAGTTCCTGTATATCCACACAAAGTCATCAGAGTATTGCCCTTTGCAGCAAGAAACAGGATTGTCTTATGGAGACGACACACAGATATTCATCATCAAGATGCTCTGTTAACCAGATTATCCTGAAAAAAGCTGCACCACTGATCAATTCTTGCTGTGAAGAGCCAATGGTTTTTCTTATCACCAACTAATCCTGTTATAAATTATTTAATGCTCAAAATGTATCGGAGAAGAATCCTCAGTTGAATGAGCATTCCACACACACCAGCATTCTCCATGAATTCATTCCTAATTATCATTTGCCTTTTTTCCATAGCCAATATGTAGTTAATGAATGCCTGACATAACTTCAGCATTAAAAAAAAAAAAGACATGACTAGTTACATAATTACAGGTTAAAAAATGATCTTTTTTCAGCTCCATGCGCTGAAGTAATCTTAAAGGTGAAGGTTAAGTACAGGCAACACACACTACAGATTGCTTTGCAAGACATTCTGTACACTGACCACAGCAACCTCAACGTGTGGCACTGCCTCTGAAGGAATAGTTTGATTTTATAATAATATTAAAATAATACAGAACTTGTAACTATTATCAGTTATGTCTCATTCATGGGATTCTGTCTACAAAAGGACAACAAATTAACACTTGAAATCATTATAGAACATAAATAATACATTTAAGGATGCCACTAAATGTCAAGAGAAGAACAAAATCCATACCCTAGTATGGAGGCAGGGTTATCAGCAAGAATTTCTAGGAAAAAAAAAAAAAAAAAAAAAAATTCCCTTTCATGTCTCCAGGGAACTGCTTAAAACAAGGTGTTTCATCAAAAAAGAAGGTATTATTTCTCTCAGCCTGATCCCACCACAAGCATTTCTATGCAAGCTGCTTCAGGCAGTTCCTCTCATTTCTAGATCATAGATTTAACTATGTTTATTATCACAGATCAAGGAAGCAATTTCTAAATACAATATTCATACTTTTCAGCTCCAATGGGGCGATTCATTCAGAGTAATTTGTGACTTTCAAGCAAATTAATACACAAATTTACATCGCATGACTGCTTTGAATAAAAAGAGAGGCCTCAAGTAAAAACACGAATAAATAAATCTGAGTTACCAAGCTGTTTGCACTGGTTCTGAGTCAAAGGTAAGGTAATCCAGGGGAACTGATAAAGCCTGATTTACCATCAGTTTGTGGACCTTTTCAATTCCTTGAGCTAGAGCACCTGCACGGCTCTTTCCACACTTCTACCATCCCTGTAAGAAAGCAGCACGTGAAGTGGCCAGTGCTGAGCTGTGAGAACACAATTTGGTGGACTTGCTGCTACTAAACAGAAAGTATAACAAATTGTTTTTTTCCCTGACCTCCTCTTGACAGATCCACAAATCTGAGTTCTCTTCTTGTACCACACCACCAATTAATAACCTACAAGCTTTTTTGAATGAGTTAACACTGTGGATGCAAAAAGTCACACGTACACTTGGGAACTCATCATCCTGGCTAAACTACCATAACTGAGAAAAAATATTTCACTTTTATAATTACTGCAAGGCATTGATGCAAAAAACAAAGTCAACACACTTACTGGAGATCTTTTCTCTTTTTTTTATGAGGGTCCACTAGACGAAGAGTGTCTCTGATAACAGCTACTTTCACTTCTTCATCAACAGGGCTTGGGACATTTTCAAATACTCCAGGAGAAAGCTTTAAATTATAAAGGGATACAATATTCAGTAGAGAACTAAGCATTATTTATTCCACATTTGCTCAAACTTCATGCATGTCATTTATGTTTTAAATACACAATGATGAATTACAAAACACTTCTTAAAGGATACACAAATAACATTTCCAGTATGATATTACAACAATTTTTGGCAAGTTTCTCTAGTAAATGGAAATATTAAAAAAAAAGGATTGTTGCCAATGTTACCATTTATATTATGTATACAAACATGAAAAAAAAAAATTATTAGCAATCCCCTAAACACAATTAAGTCAACTGCAGGGGATGATGAATAAAGGTATTTACGAGAAAGACGATGGAGAGCTTTCACGATTCAAATAAATCATACTTCCACTGTATAAGATTAGCAATGATTTCAAAGCAGAAAATTACAGAAAACCTTGGAGGTTTCATATTAGCAGACAGCTTTCATCTTTCAAACAAGGAAAAGACCAGAAAAATGAACCTAAACAATTTCATTCCGAAATCCCTATCACGTTGAGAGGTCTTACCTCTTGCTCGTGTTCTATTCTCATGCTGGGGTTTGCATTTACTTCTAGTAACATGGGCTTCAAGTTTTTCATCAGGAGAATGTCAAACCCTAAAATCTGTGCATAACAAGCAATGGGTTACTTCAGCTCCACTCAAGTGTCCTAGAGGATGCAATGCTCATCCATATGTCAATGTTCAGGAAGAAGAAACATTTGAGGGACAAAAGAGAAACATGCTATATTGCTAAATAATTAGAGAAACTACTTGTCTTCAATACTAATAGCTACTTTCACAACCCCCATCTCTAAATGCTGCATCTGTCAACACAGAATCTTAGCACCTATGACAGGTGGGTCTTAAAACTGCCATCACCACAGCTGCACTGAGAAGCTGCAAAGCTTCATAGTTACAACATCCCAAAGATGGAAACTGGAGTGAATGCTTCTAACTAACGAGTGATACCCACTGAAAATTCTCCGTATGCATTTATGGTGAATAGTAATATAGGTCAGGAGACTCAGATCTGTAAGATAAAACTTGGGTAAAGAGAACCTAAGCTCTGAGCTCACACAACGCTATTCAGTGTATGCACTGCGCCCAACCAGTGATCAGCAACATAGAGAAAGCTTTTAGAAAAGGAATTAAACATCCAGAAAACTAATCCATATACAGAAATAACTGCATTCCTGACAGAAATTCCAACCTACCTGGAAGCAAGTTGGCCCAGGCTTTCCTGCTGGTATGTCAGACTGATAGTAAACTTTCAATTCTGGTGTCAGTGCAATAATTGTTTTAATCACCAGAGAAATGATATCTGACCACAGCTTTTTGACATCGGCTCCTCTGGAAGACAGTCTGCACAGAATGCTTGAAAAAGTCCTCTTGCTGCCAGTGTTTACACTGTCAGAATGGATGAAATTCCCGCTATGGATATTTAGTGAATAGTTGGTTAAGTGCATAAAAACCTGGTGCAAATTTTTTAGAGTGGGTTCTTGATAGGGCTCTGTACAAAATCTAGAAAGTCCATCTTTGGCTATATAAATCTCTAAGGGCTCTAAAGACTTCAGTAAGACATAAAGACGAATATCAAATTTCAGTTTGTCAACAAGCAGTGGCTTGCAAATATATTCCTGGACCACAGCTGGCCGGCTCTGGATGCTTCCTGTCAGTCTGATGTCACTTGGGTCTTTAATGAGGTAGATTCCATCCCCCTGGCACCCTCCATCAGGTTTTACAATAAAAGTGGGCTTCCAGGATGGATCACTGTCTTTCATCATACGAACCTAGAAGGAAAAGAATTATACTGAAAGACCCTAACAGGGCGGGGGAGAGAAGGACTATGAAAGCCAACAAATTTTATTCATTAAAAAAACCCAAACCGCTATGACATCACTATAGTAGTAAACATTGTGCAAAAAGGTAGAAGGTAAACAGTGCTGACAAGCACAAAGACAAACAAAAAAGCATGAGTAGGGAATGACTAGTAAAGACAAAGGCTCATTTTATTTAAGAAGCCATTGTTTACAATTTCAGGAACTTTTTAATGTTATGTACCAGTTTACAGAATGAAATGCTGTCTATGTCACAAGATCCATTTTATTAGTCACTATACGAAACTGCAGTTAAGCTTTCGTGCTGCATTTTGAACAACTACTGACCATGATAATCATTAACCTGAGGAAAGGCACCTTATTTATTGAGGTATGAATGCAGACAAACAGAAGAGAAAGTAAAAATTTGGCACTGATAATACCTTTTTCCACCACTGAATATTTTTCACAATCAGATACGCAGTGTTAATAGAATTAGGGAATATTGAGCCATGTACAGATATGAAGCAAATACCACAGATTTACTAACCAAAGCATAGAGCTTATGCCTCAGTTGCTACCTACCACCACTCCCCGAAACAAAGGGTTTTCTAAATTATACTGGAATTCCCATAAGGTCTAACATGCATTGACTACTGTTCTATCCAATGCAAAATAAAGAAAATTCTATCACAATTTCAACAACTCTTCTCAGTGGCTTTGATCTGTATTGGAAAGATCTGCTCGTAGCACATGACAATTCAGACACTTTCTTTAGATGTACCTCGTGTTGGGAAGAAAGTTGCCGGAGAATCTGACGGTGCCTAGTACCAAATCAAAAACTTTAGATTAATCTACAGAGCGCTCCATGCCTGGCCTGCTGTTGCCTCACGCTAGTGCACACATTCAGTCTGCGTTCAGGCGTTCACCACTGCTGGGCTGGTTCAGCGTGAAACACAGTGCGCTCTAGTGTACAAGCTCGCAAACAGCCAACACCAAAATCTAAGTGGCATAACGCATTTTAACATAAAAAAACGCCTAAAAAAGTCACTACACAAGATACATTTTGTTTCTTTCACAGATAAATGCTTCCAGTCTGCAGATTTCTTAAAAACTTATGTCAAATACTCTTTACTGCTAACAAGTTAAATTAAGAGAATCATTCTGGAAAACGTTTTGTTCAAAAGACACATACTGACAATTGAACGTACTAAGTATGGGGTGATGGGAGATGCCCCCACTAGAAAGGAAACAGCAGGTAAGAAATCCTGACATCTACTAACACTCTGTGAGCATGTGTATAACAATCATCAAGAAACAGAAACAGCAAGAAAAAAAAATATTAAAAAAGGAAAAAAAAGGTTAGCAAACCAGTACCCTTCAGTATCAGTTTCTTTCCATTGTTTCTAGCGTCTTGACATGCAAGATCTCTGTTTGTTAAAGTCAACTTTAATACTTTGTAAGAATGTCACTGGAGGACTATATGACCTATTTCTGTATTGTTTACAGCAGCACAGACCTCAATACTCATGTATCCAGTTCTCTCGCTGCTCTGTAGATATCCATGAGTACAAGATAAACCATTATACCCGTATCTTGAGGGTTTTTTTTCCAAACTGTGCCCTAGATTCTTGGGGCATATAAGGGAAATGGTTTACCACAAATAGAAATGATGGTAACAGTGATGGGGAAGTTTGTCAGAACTTAACTGTCCTACAGGATCTCAGATGTGACCTTAGTAAAATGAAACATAAAATATAGAGAATTATAGGATTAGAGAGAGGTGTATGCATCCTCACACAAAAAGTAAGAATAAAAAAGAAAAAAAGAAAGATTAAAACTCAGATCTAGATTCAAATGTCTCAAATTCAGAAGTGAGTTGAATCGGAACGTTTTGCTCTATCCCACTGTCATTTCTACATACTGACATCAGCAGCTTGATTTCTGGACCATAAACAGAGCTTGGCACTATAACAGACAACAGCCTTTTATAGAAACTAGCTTCTTGAAAGCAACAATAAATATCTTTGGAATTTTTGGTTTTAACAAGCTAATGGGAGTAATATTCAAAAGTATAGGAAAAAAAAAAAAAAAGGGAAATGCCCATTTTTCTTTCCTAAAGAATCAGTTATTTTATCTGTAAGAAAATGAGATAATCCCACCTGGAACAGACTGTTAACAGTTGGCAGTCCAAAACATGATGATTGTAATAAGGTTGTTTTGGCCTTTGAACATGTTGAACTGCTCCATTCATTTAGCAGGGACCGTTTGGAGGTTAATGCCATTCCCAACTGGATACAGCGAGTCAGAATTAAACATGGCACCAATAACTAACCGTTGGATTCAAATCTGCACTTTTGTAAACGGCATATATTCACTCAAAACCCTCTCAGAAAAAAAAAAAAAATCAATCTTTTTAGCTAAAAGAGCAATTGCACCATCTAAATTGCCTACAAAGCTCGCATTCCCAAGAAGCAAACTAAACTTTGCAAGCTTCGATGCATTTTATTTGAGGAGGAAAAATATCAAGACGACAGTAACTAGGTCACTGTAAGGGCCTGACACATCTGCTGAATATCAGATCTTTCATGTTACATGCCTATCTCCCACTGCCTAAATCAATTTTAATTTATTACTTGTATAGCAAAAGTAAGAACGGCAGAGATTTGGATGCTTCAATTAGTAGAAGTGAAATTGAGAAAGAAAGAAGTCAGGAAGGATTTAGAGTTATCTTAGATTAATTTTTAAAATTATTCATAAAATATGGCATGTTTTACAGGATGTAGCAAGGAAAGAATGCGAGTACATTTAAGCTAGTGAGTTAACATGTCTCAGTCTTCAGAGGCATAGAGGAAAAAAGCAGCTACCTGAGGTACAGGCTGACTGAAGACCCGTCTGCCGCCGCTCCCAGTCCGTCAGCACCAGTGGTGCCCACTGCTGTCGGAAGCTGTTTGGCAACTGGAGTGTGAATGTAGTGATCCAACTGGCACACACCAAGAACAAAAAAGAAAACCCAAGGGAAGTGGCATTAATTGGCAATGGGTTTGGAGGTGCAGGACTGAGCAAGCAGTGGAAAATGAACAGCTGCATTGCCCTCTCAAGCAGCCCTTTAAGTTCATGGTAAAGCAACAGGACCTGCGTGAGGAAGCCTCTGCAGCTCCCCCAGCTCTATCACTCTCCTCTGCATGTAAAGTCCCTGTAGGTGTATATACAGTAGCACTGCATTCACAAATATTCAGGAGGAAAGAAATGATTACAGCACAAATTGTAATTTATCAAAAAGCAACTATAAAATCCAGCTTTCAGTGAAGAGATGCTGAAGGACTGTAGCTCATGAAACTCCTACCAGCTGTGGCACAGGGAACCCTAACAAAGGCAGGATGCGGATGCAAGCTAACATGTTTATCACCTACTCATGGGATCCAGAAGAACAAAGCACTTAGAATCTCTTCTTTCCAAAATGGAGGGATGTCACAGCACAGATCGCTCTTTTCTCGCATTCACACATTTTACAGCACCAGACCCGTAGCTGCTGTTCCCTCCGTTCAGCCAGACATGTGCTGAAGGAAGCCAGTGATCTGGTTTTACGCAGGCCTGCAGCTCGCCAGCAACAACTGGAGATTGACTTTAAGAAGCCTCAGGATACAATCTAACAAAGGAAAAAACAATCATTTGCCACCATCAGCCCTGGCACTGCAGCATGAAAGAGAAACAACTAGCGCATGGGCAAAGGCTGAGCAGCACTCAGACCATGGGGGTTTCTGGACAGCACCCGCTGCTCTGACTGCATTCATCTGTTGACTCATGTGAGAGGCCCAGCTCTGCTCGTGGTGACATTCCCAAGGCCTGAAGGACTTCTGGCTCCATCCCATCCAGTTATTTATTTCATTGAGAATCACACTGCTAAAAACCTTCCTACTAACTACAGCAGAAATTCAAGATCCGTTATTTAGACTAGGATTTTTCTCATGGACAAGTGGCACACTAACTCAATGAGATCCTTCTTCAAAATAGGCCAGTTTGAAGGATAAAACGTCCCAGTGGAGATCAGGCTTACGTAAACGGCATGTGGATAAATAGGTCCAAGTAGATCCGCAGGTCTAGACGTGCAAAGAAGGCAAGCAGGATTTATGCCCTAGTCTTTTACCACTAAAGAATAATCTTCCCCTGACGTGACATTACTCTGCATACTAGGGGAGTTTCCCTGGTTCACTGCTGTTAAAGATAGCATCCCAGAAAGATCCTTGGTTAATCTTAAACCTCCATGACTAAACATACCCTGCTATGACTCTAGCCGTACGTACGAAGTGCCAATCATGGTTTACCACAGCAGAAAGTAATAAAGAACCTCTATGAAACCAGCCGGGCCAATCTGCCTCCCATTCCCATGTCTGTTGTTCACGCCTCAGGCTACTTCTGCTCTGCTACAGCAGCACCTTTTCAAAAAGGATAGGGCTTTCTGGGGACTACTGTTAAAGATGCAACAGCAACCTGCTTTTGAGGTGTTGCATTTCAACAATCGGTGGTTTCATAGATTTCTTATTTAACTCTTTGCATTTAGCTGGAAAGGAAACAATTTTCTCCATCATCTTCTAGTCCGTTTTTTGATGAGACCACAAGGACTGGATATTATTCAGGCCTTCTAGTCCATCAAAACTTACACATGGCAGATGAAGATAGGACAGGGGTGGAAGTGGGAATAGTAATCCAGAGTCAGACTGGTCTTCAGCAGATTGACTGTCTTGAAGAAAGCAGATGGTTTCTTGATCTTTGAGGAAATTCCTGACAGTTGTCTTCAAATTCTTCACAATCCTCTCAACTATATTCTTTCAGATTCTCATTATGAGGAGGCTTGTCCAGACTTTGAAAATTCAGTCATGTAGGAAAATTAGCTCCTATGAAATGAGATATTTCTGTGTACTTAACTTGACAGAAGAAAATTATCTTTGAAAACATGTTAACCATTTACAGTCAACAGCAAGAGGAGAGTATGATATCTAACGGTGTGAAAATCTGATCCAGTTCCAGGTTTGCCTTTCATGAGGAAACACAGGCTGAATCAATACAGTGTTCTGGAAAAAATGCATATAATGGGCTATGAGATTTGACAGCACTAAGACTACAACGTTCATGTCTATGCCTAAGAGGTATCCAAAAGCTGAAAACCTGATTAAACCACCAAAAATATGCTGTGCTGGAAATTAGACTGTCTAAATTAGATTCTTATTAAAAATTAATCATACTAGGTCTATTCATCATCCTCACAGACAACACAAAGGCGGCAGTATGAAAGCAATCAAGGCTCTGGTTTGAATCCCAAGCTAGTTACTTTTCAGAAATTGGAATTTCCCATTAGAAGTAAGTTCTTCACACAGATTCCAACAGATTCTTCCCCGTTAGTGAGGTGGTTGATTACTGTCGCACCCGAGAGATTTGCTTATCTGTAATTCATCTTCTGTTACAGTGACATGTTATTACAAAATGTTTTAGAAGGTAAAAAAAAAAAGGTGAATACTGAAAATAGCTAAATATATATTTAATTAGTAAAATGAACTTTTAAGCCCTTGTTAAAAATCCCATCACCATTTCATTGCAATACATGACACTAAGGGAACAACCATTTTCTTGGCATTTCCCAATATGAAGCTCATCCACAACAAGCTCAAGAGTACAGTTTCTCATCAGCTATCAGCTTTTACAGCACAGAAGGCTAATATTAGATTAGCTGCAGTGTTTTCTACCTGGATGTAGGTAGAGGGGGAAGTGGGAAAAGCTGACAGCATTTTATTTAGTTATTGACACAAATGTATGATAAAAGTTCACAATCACATCTAGAGAAGTGAGGCACACTGTTTGAGAGAGAAATTGTTTTGAAATGCAGTGCTTCAGGAGGAGGCAGTGAGATATAAATTCTCAAGTAGTTTCTTCTTCCAGTGGTCATCTCTATTACAGGCAAAATCTCCTAGGTGTTCATTTCTCAGTCCAGCCCTTTACAACAAAATCCTATACTACAAACAGCCCCAACCATCTTCTCATGTCTAACCCTGATCTACAGGAACACAGAATTTGTGACTTTGGGTAATTAACTATGCCCTAAAGGACCTCAACACTAGTAACAGGGAAGGTACAGCAACATGAGGTTCAGCATGCCACATCTAGAGCTACATACTCAGGAGGTGCAGCCCATGACAATACAGCTTGACTTTCAGAAATACCAGAGATCGCTAAATCACCTTTTCCTTACATAAATGTACGCATGGCATTCACGTATTCAAGTGCATGCCAGGTCCTACAGGGGATGTCTAACATGCAGGCACTGCCAATGCTGGTTTGTACTTGTTTGTGGATAAGCTGAAAATTCAGTCTTGGAGAGCTACAGCATTAGGGTCCCTTGGTTATAAAGCAAACAAACTCACATACGAACAAATAAACAACAGAAACGACTGGAGAGCTCCTACGGAGAACTCACAAAATTGCAAGTGAAAAGCGTTCTGAACCATTTATGGTTCACAGTGGATTTGGAATTTTTCGGTTTGTATTTTTTCTTGTTTTGGAGGGGTTACATTACAAACTTGTGTTAAGTAGAACATAAACTCTTACAACATAAAATATAATGTTTGATAACAAGAACTATGCTTTTCTCAAACACAGATGGAAGAACATATGCAAAGGAAACTCCTAGGAGTGTGTTACTGGACATCTGTTATTCTTGGAACAAAAACCGAATCATTTTCACTCCAGTAACCATTCAACCAGAGAAAAGTATTTATTTGCAGTGCCACCTGCTGACAGCGTTGGGGGTCTGTGTGTTTAACCTGATGTAGAGAGCCCACTGCCACACGCTGCTCAGTTCATCAGTGTCCTGTAACCACGGCAGGCACAATTCCCCAAAGGGTCATTGCTAGAACCCGACTGCACCGTTTTGAAAGTTTACTTCCAAGTTATTTGCACTTAGCTACCTGTCATTGCTAAATTGATTGGATAATTTACACTCCTTTTACAAATTGGTCTTAGATCTAAAGCAATAAGGCTGAAGTACTATTGGGATTTTATTCATTTTTATTGTGACTAGCAGTGCCATAGCAGTGACCCAGCACACTTGAAGATTATATATAAAGAGATGTTCATGGATTTCACTGGATTGTGGATATGGTAACCATCTAAAAAGTAACACACAGTACATAACACTGTTAAAGTCCATACCATTTTCTCTCACTTTTCCAAGCACAGCATACTGTAGAATACAAGAATGCACTGGGCAAGTCAGACAGGGTTAAAACAAACACATACAATATTTTAACAAATATTTGTAATAACAGAACCAAACATTTTTTTTTTTTTTTTTGTCAAAAAAAGCTGAAAAAGAATGGCATTTTATTACACTCGGGATATTTAAGCAAAGCAGCAGTCTGACAAGAGATTCAAACAATTACCCAGGAAGACAAGAGTATATTTAACAACGCACAGTACAAAATGGTTTTTTTGAAGGAATTGGATAGAACAGGCAGGATGGACTAAAGTCTTCAGTGACAATGAACCTGGTGAAGTGCCACATTCCATGCACTACTGTACTGGAACCAGCCCTTTCTAACTCAGTAGAATATCCAGTGAAAGGGCTTATGGTTCTACATGTTTAATTTTCAGACATCTCTTCAGGCATTGCAGAGAAGTGTAACTAGTTTTAAGTTTATTCTAGAACATAACAAAAGCGCTTCATCCAGACTACGTCTTATCTCAGGCAAACTGAAAAAGATGTCATCCACAGCACTCAAGTGTGATTTTAAATAATCTGGTAGGTATAAAAATAACTAAAGAATGACATGGCAACAATATCCAGCAAGTTATACTATTCTGAGAATAAAAGTAATCTACCTCAGCCACAAAGAGGGGAAATTCTTCTGGCAGTATCCAGGATCGAGGATAGAAGTTATATTCAAGAGGAAACAGATCTTGCATTGTTCGCACCGCCCGACTTAATGTAATTTTACGTACCATCTCTGTCATGCCTGGGAAAAGAACACACATTGTCTAAAAGCGATGAAAAATGCACACTGAAGTCTCACCCTAAAAGTAATTTGTTATAGCATTACTCACCCTACTGGTAGGCACTGCTTTCAGTAAAACTGAAAACCTTTTAAAATTTAAAATCTACCTAAATATTTGTAGCATTCCCCTGCCATATTTCAATAATATATGTATTACTGTATCATATTAGAAAAAAAAATTATCAAAAATACAGCTGAGAATAATAGAGTGAAAGCCTTAGTCAAGTAGTAACGACTGTCTTTGCCAGAATCCGAGATTATTGCCCTAGCCTGCACTTGTTCCAGGAATAGGCAAAAAATGTCATTTAAAGATAATCACCCACTTTGTGTTTACATTGCATTCATTCAAGTAACTATGTCAGAAAGAAAAGGTTATTGTGGGAGCAGCCAAACTCCGCTGCTTCCCTGCAGCTTTGAATCTCATGCTTGGATCTTGCCATTTCCAGATCCACATGAGCTCTGGTAGAAGCTTTTCCCAAGGTCAGGGCATTCAGGGTTACTCCCGTGTTGTATGTGATTTCAAGTATCACGGCTTAGTTCACGCTGCGGTTTCTTTCTCAGCGAGAACATCATTGGTGGGTTTCTTTGCTACACGGTCAGCAATCTTCCACAAAACCTACAGGAACGCAGTAGTCTGTGACTACAAACCTCTGTTGAGCACGGTTGATTTTGGCCAGGAGGTTCCAAAGGTACAAGGACAGAATGTGACAGGGAACATGCACACACCTGCTGATTTCCATCAGGAAAATCCTGTCTTATTTCCATTGGGAGCATGACTAAAAAGCTATTTTTATAGAAAAGTTTCTAAGTCTTTCTGAGGACCAACCCCTTCAGATTCTTTGAATTGTTTGATTCTTCAGAATCTATCACAAGTAACTAGGAAGTATCAAGACCTCTTCTTCAAGAGAAAGCATTTAGTAAACCCCAGCTTTTAGCGCAATTTTCCTGGAAATTAGATCTGAAGGGCTCTGGTTTTGACTCAAGTGGAAGCCACTCGCTTACCACCTAGAAGCCAGAATATAGAGAGACTAACATTCATCTAACACAGATATAAACCACCAGAAAACTACACCATTCGATACTTGAATGTGAACTTCCCAGAGACAGGAGAAAGCCAGGGTAAATAAGCATAAAGTTCAGTATCTGAGGGTTCTTACTCTCACAGCATACTAACAGCAGCAATAAATCTGAGTAAAGGGCTTAGGTAAGTCAATACCTAAGCTCTTAGCTCTTATTTAGAGAGATCTCAACAGGATTAAATGAGAAAAAAAGGGAGCTTAAAAAGTAGAAGAGTCATCATAAGATGAGGGCTGACATGAACTCTTCAATATTAAGAAATGCATTTGAGGAACTCCACTTTGAGCTTCTCCCTGAGATAAGCCAGAGCGCAAACACAATAGATTCTTTCCACTTTGAATCAAAACCAAATCCAAAGACACAGAGCACTGTTATCAATGCTAGATAACAGACAACAATTGTGTACTTCACTTAAATTATAGCTTAACACTCTTATTCTTCCTGAATTCATACATATAAAGCATTCTCTTCATCCAAACCAAATTTCAGTTCAGAAATTGTTCAAAACACCTATTCTGCTATTCATACCCCCTCAGCAGCAATCACCAAAATGCTAAAATGCTAAAAATACTATCAGCTGATTAGGCAGATAATTCACATTAAAAAAGTCGAACACAGGAACAGTTAAAATAAACATGTTTTTAAAGCATTTTTTTAAACTCAAAACAGAAGTAAGGTACCTGGAAACTTGTTGACTTGACCTGAGAATATATCATTATCATGAAATGATACCCCATGCCAATAGATATCACACGGCAAGCGTCTGCCAAAAGGAAACTGGAAAAGAGATAGGAGACAAGGTTTGAAGCAAACTGGCAATACCCATTCATTCCTTACTTCTCTAAACACTTATATTACATATGATCCATTCAAGGACAGTATTCTGACTGACAAAAGAAAATATGCTCATATCCGAGTTGCAAAACTAAGAATATTTTGATCAGTTCAAGACTCTAAAGTTCAAGATGTTAAAACTGTGAGAGGTTTCTAGAAACGCAAAACAAATAACGGAGAGGCATGATCTGTACTGAGAAACACCAAGCTTGTTATCAACCACAGTTAAGGCACGACTCATTTGTAATTTAAAATACTATTACAGAGAATAAAATTTCATTAAGCAGCACTTAATTCCGGCACATGAAGGCAAGTGTTACAGCTGGGAAGTAAACAAACTCTGACAGTGTTTTGGGTTGGGTTTTTTCCTCCCCAGTTCAAGGGGTGATGAGCAACCATCAAAGGATAAAAGCACTACAGGTCACAGACGAATTGTCGTTGCTGGCAGTTACTAAATCAACTCCTGTTCTTAAAAAGATCACTATTTAATGCCAAGAGTCTCATGGCTTGTATCTGTGCTGCCCCTCTGTAACCCAAATCCTTTCCCAAATTGCATCTGTACCCCCAAACGTGTGGCATCTCCACAGGCTCCCAGTCTAGCACGAGCAAGGAACATTTCTATTCCTTAGAAGAACTTTATTTCAGGGAATACACGTAGTTATTAATATTGGTGTAAATTAATAGTAACTTGCAACTGCAAAGCACTTTCTGAGCAAGCTGATTTACACTGGAGTCCAAGCTGCAATAAATTTAAAATGGATATTCAAAGCAAGATATGTAAGTGATATAACTATAATATTCATTTTTATATATTCAGTTATATGTACTAATTATACAGTATTAATTCCTTTCTGGTACTAATAGCTTGTATTTAGAAGACAAGCTTATAATTTAATTAATCATTTGTTGAGCATATGTAATTCAACTATTAAGGACTAAGGCAATTATTTCAACAATATTAAGTATTCCAACAACTTAAGAGCTTCTTTTCCCGTTTACACAAGATTTCACCATAAATTAGAAGAATACGGTTTTCTATTAACAAGATCAACTTTATTTAAACAGTCTGCAGAGCTCTGAAACGGCATTGCCAATTACTGAAAGCAAGTTTCTAATAGTAGTAAAATAGTTTAAAAAAAAGCAAGCTACCAGCAGTAAGATCAAAAGCCCCATGAATTAGCAGTACCAACAATGCAAAGCAAAACCATTACTGTTAAACATCAAACACCTGTAATTTATGTTACAATAATTAATAATTAGTTTTGTGTGAAAGAGGTACTCTTATTTTCCACACTTGTTCTCTCAGACACAGTCCCTTTTACCAATCCAAAAAAACTATTTCTCTGCATCTCCATGTAAATGTCTTTAAATACTACATGGAACACGTTCACAGGAATCTCTTCTATTATTAGGTTACATCTTTTTCAAATAAATGGGCTATGCTTCTTACCACAGCGTTTTTAGGACACACTTGTATGAAATACCAACCACCTTCATCACCCAATGACTTTGGTGCCATTTACTTACTGAAAGAACCACAGTATTTTGCAGAAACTACTTGTTCTTTCCTCCACATGTAATTTTTCTTGCTTTAAAACATTTAAGCACGGGATTGGTTTTTTCCAATATGACAGGAAAAAAAAAGAATCTCATAAAGCTTCGAGTGAATTACTTTATTTGCTACTTTAATTAAAATTTCAGTTTCCTCAGTAAATAGCCTTGAAAAATTAATTTAAAATGCTAATTGAGCACTGCATCCTTTCTCTATTTCCTTACTCATAGGGACGAGATACCCAATTTAACAGAGCCACTGGATTCTTCACTTATTTCATTATTATTCAGCCCGCAAAATCTGTTTTTGTACAAGTGAAAATTAATTCTGTTAAGCTCTGAAAGACAATCAGTGGCCTTAACCTCTCTCCACAGGTATATCCAGAATACAGATGCAGTATTAGGTCTCAGAGCGCCCTTCCCACTATATCCTGAGCAATTTATTTATTTATTAAATGAAATTGAAATGAAAGGAATGAAATTTGCATTTATATAACACCTTTCATCTACAGAGGATATCAAAGCACTTTACAAACACTGCACAGAAATCATTTCACAACAGATGAAGAGTGAGCACCTCTGGACTGGAAAATGGAAGCAGCGCACCCCCGCATCAGCAATTCAGGTAGCACAGCAACTTCCCCACTCCTGACGAATCAAGATTATTTGGATTTATCCAGCAACAGGATCAAACTCACTTCCTGAATGAGCTGGGAAGGCTTCTTTATCATCTAGGCTATACTTTCACATAAGAATAGTGTTACTCTGCTCCCTCTGGCAGCGCCAAGCAGATATAAATTGATCTCATTCCGGTAAAAGAGGCCTTTCTGTCAGTTCCTGGTGCAGAGCACAAGCTAAAAAGAAAAGTGGATGCTTGAAGCAGTCCTCTGTTCTCATGATTTCTGTCTGTGGCTACCTGGTGTCAGCCGGAATAGGTCAGATCTGCACAAACTGATGCCAAAGGCACAGTGCTCCCAGCCCGGGGCCTCGGGAGCTCACAGCCGTGGTGGCACAGAGGTGGCGAGCTGCTGTATATTCACCCTGCGCAGAAATCCTGAGAGTCTGGTTCTAGAATCCGTCACCGCGAACAACTTTCAGGGTGAAAGCAATTCACTAACTCTTGAACAATATATTTAAAGTCTTCTTTTATTCAGAGTCAGGGGGCATTTGTCAGAACAAAAACCAAGGAGCCACAAAGACAACAGAACTGTTTCCACAACTTTGACGCAATTAATAATCCATCATAGTCAAATCTGTCTGACAGATCATTTCTACCTTTTGATGAGAAGCCAGTAATTTAAATTGTCTCACGGGTCACATCACGCTGTTCTATCATGTTTAATAACAAGCTAGATGACTCTTGTCTTCTAGTCAGCTATCCCAGCGTAAAATTTCAAACTATTTCTACACTTCCATGCAGCTACTGAACAGCGAGACAAGTGAAACGCTTAATGCTGG